CAATCCATGGTCTAGGTCAAATGGAGTTGATTTTACACACACACACACACACACACACACACACACACACACTTACACACACTCACATACACATTAAGGTGCACATACACAGCATGAAGATTGAGCATCCATGCTGTATTCTCTAGGATATGAACTGGGGAGACATTGTCATTTACTTTAACATAAAGTGAGCAAGTATATCTGTTAGTTAACTTTAACTTGCACCGAGGGTGGCTGCCTGTGATCAGGAATACATACCCAGGGTCATTAGATAGCATTTAAAACACCTAATCCAAAGTCCTACCCCACAGAGGCAGTTCATTCAAAGGCTTCTTTGCCACATTCATCTCTAAAAGAGTTTAGTTAGCATAAGGGACATTGAATTATATTTTTGCCCTGGAAGAATGAGTGGTTGACTGGCTAGATATTGTACAGGTACCTCACTTTTGTATGAACAGTGTGTAAAAAGTTGTTCAGACCAGCCAAACACTGTCTCCAATAGTCTTCATGGTCAAAGGCTTCAGTTGGCCCAGGGTTTCTTGTCTCACCACTTAATGGGAATTGTGATCTGCCAATGTAATCAGGGTCTACTGAGGGCAGACGGGAGGTATCCACTCCACATGTAGGTAGTGAGGGGTATGCTGTCTACAGAGAACTTAAAAGCAAAATCCCAAATCATTAATGCCAATGGTTTTAAATAATGGTGAAAAAAATACTCTGTCTCAAAAAAGTGTTTTGTTTGTTTACATTATAAATGATTATTACAATTACTTTTGAGGTTTTTGAAAACAATATTTTTAAAATTGAAATTAAAATCCCAGGGCTGGGAGTGTAGCTCATTGGTAGAGCACTTGCCTAGTATGTGTGAGGCCCTGGGTTCCACGCCCAGAATCAGAAAAAAAGTAAACAAATAAAAATAAAAGCCACAAACATATAATTTAAAAATATTTCACAAGGATATTATTATAAAGGTGACTTTGTCATATATAAGAGCGATCAAGATTATTCTGATGTATAGGAAAGACACTGGCACTGGGTGGATTGTTAATGGGAATATAGGTGAAACGGCTGCTTCAGAGAGCAAAGCTGTTTTTCACAATTTAAGAGAGAATTGGGGATGACAGATGAAGAATGCAAGTTTCTTTCTGAGGTGTTGAAAATATTCTAAAATAAATTTTAGTGGTAGTTCTACCACTTGTGAATATACTGAAAATCACTGAATTGTGCATATAAGCCTTATATCTCAATACAATTTTTATCAAAAAATCCAGGCCTGGTAGCACATGCCTGTAATCCCAGCTACTCAGGAGGTGGAGGCAAGAGGATCACAAGTTTCAAGGCCAGCCTCAGCAACTATGGTCATAACAATATATAATTAATAATATCCTAATTATTTGTTTGCATGCTTTATGAGTAGAAATATCTTAATATTCCTAACATAGTTAAGGTGAACGTTGGGTTTTGGAAGGTGATGGTATCCAGTGGTTAGACTTTTTGACTTTGTTTCTGGTTTTACTCATTTAGGGGCAGGATGATTCATGGACTTGGCACTCTGTTGGGAGCTCACAGATATCAGTTTCCGTCTAGTGCTGTCCCCGAAACTGCATTGTTGTCTTAAATAAATCATGAACAGTGCATTCCTCAGTTTTGCAGTCTATAAAGTGGCAAAGTAATCTCTTAACTGCACATGGAGTTCCAGTCCTCAATTTCCCACTTGGTATAACATTTTGAGAGAGGGGAAACTTTCAATCTTCCAGCAACCCTGTGTTGAAACCCCAGGCCTCCAGAAGATATTGGATAATAAGAGCAGCTGGGCACCAAGGGAAAGGGCACCAATATGGAGTCCTCAAGGAAATAAATATCTTCTTGCTTCTGGTAAACCTTCAAAAATGTATCCACTTGGGCATTTTGCAGCAGAGATTAATGTTGGCTAATTTGATAGCATTAAACAACATTTGGAATCTGGAATCTTACTTTTATCATTTCTCTATTTCTATTCCTGGGAAACACTGGTATGTTATAGTTAAGAGGCTAATGCCATCATAATAAATCCCTAGATACTAGGTATCTATCTGAGAATGTAAAATTTTCCAAATAATAGGATTATGATTGGCCAAGAGAATATAACATTTTAAAGTTATACTCATGATTTTTTGAAATGCAAAAGCAAAATTAGGATATGTTCTACAGGTTCCCCCCCCCCCGGGAATTGTACTCCAGGGGTGCTAAGCAACATCCCTAGTCCTTTTAAAATTTTTGTGTTTTGAGATGGGGTCTTGCTAAGATGCTAGGGCCTCACTAACTTGCTGAGGCTGGCTTTGAACTTGCAATCTTTCTGCCTCAGCCTCTCAAATCACTGAGATTACAGGCATGTGCCACCATGTTTGGCTTGTTCTACCATTTTAAGTAATTGATCCTCGTTGATAATGAGCAATGCTCATACGCACTATGAGAGAGAGAGAGAGAGAGAGAGAGAGAGAGAGAGAGAGAGAGAGAGAGAGAGAGAATGTGTGTGTGTGTGTGCGTGTGTGTAATGTAAAAATACTTCAAAAGCTATAAAACTGTATTTGAAGCTGGGTCCAGTGGTGCACACCTGTAATCCCAGCAATTCAGAAGACTGAGGCAGGAGGATCACAAGTTTGAGGCTAGCCTCAGCAACTTAGCGAGGTCCTAAGCAACTTAGTGAGAACTTTTCTCAAAATAAAAAATAAAAAAGGGTTGCAGATATGGCTTAGTGGTTAGGAAACCTTGTGTTCAATCTCCAGTATCCAAAAAATAACAGCTGTATTTGGAACATCCTTAGACATATGTAATATGAAGAGAACAATCTTATATATATACACACACACACACACACACAATCATATATAATATAAAATGACTTATGAAAGTAAAGCATTAATGGGAGTGTGATCCTTGAGTTAACAGCAGGGTGTACCTGCTCTTGGAACAATTTATAATATAAGCTTAACTTCAACCATAGATCATTAGTCAAGTGAGTAGTTGAATATTCTGTGAGTGAAGAGCAATTTGCTTTAAATGATTCTCCCAAGTGTCTCTTGAATAATTATAACTTTTCATTGGTTTTCCAAAGAGATGGTAGTGATAGGTGAATACAGCATTAGACTTAAACTGAAGAATACAGTATTAGACTTAAACTATACAACCATCTGGCTGCATAGCTCAGGTTAAAGGCATAAAGAATATACTGCCTTTTGTGTCCTAATAAATGCTTTATATATAATGGTTATATATAACCATCATAAAATAAGTTATCAAAATATGATGAAATGATACTATGTATATACATAGAGTATATACATGTTATTACTCTATATTTACAGTATATATTATGTTCATACACATAGTAGATATAGTATATATAGTATGTACATATTATACACACAGTACATATCATACACATAGTATTTGACGTATGTTACTATTATCATTACACATTGATGGAAAGCAATATACCACAATTAGAAAGATTGTTTCTTTATAAGATGGGGAGTCACTGAAATAACAAAATGACAAGTTAAGGAAAAAATTAACTTAAAAAAGATTATGCATAAAGGCTGGGGGTTTAGTTTAGGGGTAGAACGCTTGCCTAGCATGCATGAGAACTTGAGTTCCATCTCTGGCACTGCAAAAATAAACCACCAAATAAATAAACAGACAAAATGACACATAATTTAAATACATAGATAAAATGGAATTTTCTTTTTTAAAATTTATATTTTATTTTTAGTTGTATGGACACAGTACCTTTATTTAATTTATTTATGTGGTGCTGAGGATGGAACCCAGTGCCTCACATGTGCAAGGCAGGCTCTCTACCACTGAGCCCCAACCCCAGCCCCAATTTGCCTTTTTCTTCAGGGTAAATTCCACTTTAAATTCCATGGGATTTGAGAGTCTTAAAAAGTGTGAGCATTCTGTGACCCTCAGGAGAGGTACAGCACCTGAAAATGCCATCTGGTGGCCAATGTCCTTTG